GCAGAAACTCGAAAGGAAGAGAGAGACAGATAGATGGGTAGAATGAAGAACTGCGCGATTCGCGTCTTTGTATCTTTGCATTTAATGCAAGTCGAAGTGCTCCGAGTCGCAAGCGCGAACGCGAACCGACAAAGCCGGCTCTGTTCGAGCTCTCGTTTGCCTCCCGCCGTTTCTTCCTCTTCTTCATCTCCTCTCTCTCTCTCTATCTCTTTTTCTATCTCAAATTCTATCTCGCGCTGCTCGCTCGCGACGTGGTATCGCGACAGAGAAAGCGTACTTGATGCCACTTGAATCGCTCGCGCGAGCTTTGAACTCGTGCTCTGCGCAAGCTCCCGACTTTCTGCGCGAGCTGTCTGCATACATATAATCAGAGATAGAAACTCTGTAAATAGATTCTTGATTGAGGATCTGGTTCCACGAAGAGAATGTAGAACTGCGATCTCGAGGTTTCGATTTTTCGATATACGAAGAATATCGTAGACCGTAAGAGAGAATAAGTAATCGTTGTAATAAACAGATTTTAATTGAAATGGGAGGGTCTTGTGTGAGGAATTCAATTCAGTGGCATTAGAATATTTGAGAGATAAGCAAGTTTTTTGTAAGAAAGAATTTCTCTCTATAGATTTCTCTCTCTCTCTCTCTCTCTCAAGAGTGCCGGTTGCCGTTTTCCGTCTATGCGTGAAACAAGTCGTTTCATATAAATGCTTATTAATTGAAACGCATGATAGATCTATTGGAGAAGACGTAAGTTCGCTCAGCGGGATATCTTCGAGAATTATGCTTTAGTGGATCAGTGAGCATTTACCCGTTGAGATGGTTATTCGCAAAATTGCTTTCTCGAGTCAGGTTAAATGTGAAAATTTATGACAGCCCGTTTGGTGTAATTTGACGGAAATAGAAGCGTGTCTTGTTAAAGATTGTTACATTAATTACACACGTTTCGAAATTGATTAAACTCTCTTCTGGGTTTCAGCTTCACCGATATTTTCTAATTCATTTTCCGCACGCGCGTGTGTCTAGAATATAATTAAATTTCTTCTTGTATGGAAATGTGTCAGAGAATCATGTAAAACTTTTTAATTTATGCTAATGTAATTATATACCGAGCGAAAGCTACGATGAAGAAGTTTTATTTATTCTTTCGTCATTAAAAGCGGTAACTGTACACTGTAATTTAATATCCAATTTTAATAGCGCGCCGAATTTAATGAAACAACAGGTGCTTAGAGCCGCGGAACTATCTGCGCCTATATATCTGTTTCGGATTCATTAAAACGATGACCAAAGCCCCCCCATCGCACACATTTGTCACAAATTATCGCTAAACCGCACAATGTTATACGCATTATATTGCGCTCATTCAACGCACACCGCTGAAATTACACGTTACATGATATATCGCACGATCCACTGAATTTCTATTGTGAAATACAGTTATTATCCACCCGCGGCGAGGTGGATTATCCATGATGCGGTCCTAAATCAGTACGCTCGTTAAAACGAAATCCCGCCGTGCCGTCTTGTTTACGTGTGTTCGCGTGCACTCTGTTACGAGAAAAACCTTTCTGCCTCTCGAATGTAAAGTAAACAAAAAAATACACACGCGCGTTCAAGTCGTGTGTGAGCTATGCGCGCGATAAATTGCGCGATCCGAGCGATTACGTAACAAATATATAACGAGAGAAAAAAAAACAAATAATTCTTTGACCGGAAAATAACCGACGTGTTTGTAAACTTGTCGCAAAAAAATTCAGATAATTTTTCGCGCAATATCGAAAGAAAATGAAGAATTTCAAATATCCGTTTCGAAAAATTTCGCAAAAGTTTCGCGGAGTTCAAACGATTCTGCCAATTTATGCGGAGATTAAAGATCAATTAGTCCCGTGATGATCAATGGCGGCGGCGCATTCATTCCGACGATGTCAAAGGTTCAGGTACATTGATTAATCTGACTATTAGTTACAGCAAGACGTATGTATGCGCAATCGTGTTCCGCGATGAATAAAGACCTACGCGCAGCGCGCGCGCGCGCGTTTGGTATTTTCCGCTGTTTTTATGCTACGTTAAAATTTTCAATTTGAGAAACGTCATCGCGCGCGCGATGGGGAATTCGACGAATAAAGCGGATTGAATTACTGTTGAGAGAACATCATCGACCACTTTACCGAACGGCATTAAACACAGCCGTTTCATCTCGATTCATGTGTGTTTCCATTCGAATTCCGACGATCTCTCTCAAAAGCGCGGAATGCTATGCGCGCGCAATAGTCACGATCGACCGATAATTAACGCGCCGTTTATTACCGCTGCTTCTACTGCTGCTTTTTTTTTTCAAATGAACGATATTCACCAAATAACGCGAGAGAGACTCTCGTTAGGGAAACTAATGGGAGAAAGGCGATGCGCGGCATAATTCTTACGGAAATATAAAAAACGCGTGTTTAAAATGCACGTATAGGATTTCTCTCTCTTCTCACAAGGAATTTACATCCCAAGTACGTAATGTTTTCCTCAAAGAGTTTGCGTGTGTGTGTGTGTGTGTGTAAGATTCAGTCGAGCAAACGAACTCTTGCGATGGCGAAGTGACAAGATACTATATCCTATATATCGTTACGTGACGATAAACCAGTTCAGAATTTCGACGAAACGGCGGCGTCCATCGATCAAATCCCGCGGCGTGAAAAACCAAGCGATATAACGAATGTGTTTTATCGTTTAATTAAAAAAAAAAAAAAATGTAAGCATGTGGTGACGTTTACGACGACGACGACGGAAAGAAGAAAGTGCCGCAGCGTATAATGTCCAATAAAGAAAGGTTGTGTACGTACGCTCGAGCCGTTCGTAACAACATTATAATAATTCATCGCGCGTGTGCCTCGCGGCACCGATAAAACCGATAATTATAAAATATTGCGGCACGGTAATGGTCCGATATTTTGCAATCCGTGTCGACACTTTCGTCGCCGGTCGAAGTTTGTTAAAATAAAAAAAATTTTCGTCTCGCGCGGCGAACGAACGACGCGATATGTATCGTGCGAATTTCATCGTGGGATCTCTCTTCTCCCGAGCGCGCTGCGCTTTTTTTTTCTCGCGTCTCAATTACACGGCTCGCTAGAAAACACTTTATTGCTGCATTGCGCACGTGCGATGATTAAATCCGCTAAGCATTCGCGCCGGGAGAAAAGTGTACATACGTGCGTTCACCTATTCGCGAGTTTCGCAAACCGTAATGAAGATATGCGCGTGTGCAACATTGCGTTATCTCTATGTTGCGTAGTTCCAGATGTTCTATTTTTTTTTTATTTTTTTATTTTTTTGGTAAAATGCGAGTCTCTCTGAATAACAAAATACCATTGCAACCGTTGCTAGTTCTCTATCTTCTCTACAACACCTTTTATCTCAAGCTAGAATTATACGCATCGGAAAATTTTTATTCCGAGAGAATTCTATATGGATTTCTATGTGAACTATCTGTGAGTACATGTACGTGGAGATTGTAAAATCGTGCTTCACGGAGCGCGAATCTCACCGGCATAATCACGGTAACTCATATTCAAATCCGCGTGTTTTTCCTCTCCGGGGATTCGATCGACGTGGGTGAAAAGACGGGGTATCCGCCTTCCTCGGGGAAGAGAGCTCCATTCGGATCGCGTGTTCGTAATCGGAGTCTTGGGCTCCGGCGGAGGATGCGGTGCCGGCGGCCTCGGGCGCTTATTTGCGCATAACTTTGCGAACTGCCTCTCCCGACCGAGTACTGTGCACCGGCTTAAGTACTGTTAACAGGTTGACTGTCGTACTGAAGTCGTAGAGAGAAGGCGAACTTACCGCCGGCAACACACATCCGGGGATAAACGCGATCCTAATGAATGGCTGTTCTGTTTTCTCAATTTATGCGCCGGCCGTCTGCTCGAGAGCGCCTCGCTCCATCTGCGGCCGCAGAAAAGCCACACATGAGAATGATTATAATTGCCGCTCGCGCTCGGTGGAGGATTATCTGAGCAGTGATTAAGCGAGGCTGATCCCCGGTTTGTTATGTGATTAATTGTACGAGCTCGTTGCGAGACGGCAAATATCACGCATGTGATGCTGTTTTCTGACGTTTCACATCCTGCGATGAGTTCGTTACAGTTGCATGCAATATGATATATACTTCTGTCTTGTTATTTTCTAGTTCATTTAGATTTTTTGCACCAGTTCCACACGACTCTTTTAAGTCTATTTTTGTGTCGGACGCAACATTAATATTAGTCCGCACGAATGTATGAAACTTTTATTGTGTTTTTCAAGTTACACAGACTTCCGCTTTTTTGTCATACAATATCTTGCTTCTATTTATCAGTATTGACCCATATAGTTAGAATTCTTGTTTGGGAAGAGGAGACATTTATTAAGTGACAACAAGTCATCAAATATCTCCTCTGGTTCCGAACTGTTATATATATACAAATAATTCATATGTTTCGCGCTGACATTCTACCCTTCAGCAAACACAAAGTAACGTTAATGTTATAATTTCCCACTCAACGATGTAACTGCTACGTACGAGGCATGTTACATCGCAGTTACATTGTTGAGTAAGAAATTAATGTTACGTTACTGTTACTCTTTGTGTTTGCTGGGCCAGGCGCGTCCAAATGATTAACGTTGAACGTGTTGTTTATTCAAAACACCCAAACATCGACCTCGTCGATCTTCCAAACTCATAATTTCGGTTGTAAATATTTCACCGCATTACTGAGTCGGTCGTTACGGCTGTGGTTTAAGATCTGTGACCTCGTTTCGAACATTTTTCCCTCTCTCGAATGCCACTGAACAGGCTTCTCATTTATAAATGCCGCCTCGTCCAATGAGGTTAATCGCTTGAGAAGTTCTTGCGCCTAATTGATCGACGTCGATGAAAAAGTCGGTCGTAAAAAGCGCAAAACGGCGCCAATCGATGACGCTTCTTTTGTCAAAGCCAATCGTTTTGGTAATTAAGTTCTTTTTGCTATGTGTTTCAGAGCGACTTTGAACCCCAATGTCACGTGTTCCGCACCAAACAACTGCGCAAGCCTCGACCATGTCATCTGTGCCACCAGGCGGTGATCAAGCAAGCCTCTTGCTGCAGAGGTGAGTCGATAACATCATTCCCCTTCAGGGCTTTCGTCGGTAGTAACAGCTGGCTCTCATCGTGTCGGTAGTACTCTCGAATCAATCGCTGATAGGGAAGCCTCTGCTTGGCGGGAAAGTGCCAGTTAGAAACGTTGCCGCGGGCTCAAAACTCGGGCTCTCATATTTTTCTTGTTATTATGATTATTAGCGTCATTACTGACATTACGTTCCAACGCCGTGCTCCAGATTACATGAGATGATTACTATGATTAACGCCGAAAAGCACTCTCGTATACGCCGAGCGCGCGTGAAAGTCAGATCGAATTGATCACGCGCACCGCGTCCGCATCAAACGAATAATTAACGTGATTACCGTAGATTATCGTGACGCGTGGATCATTGAAGAAATGATTATAATGCTTTGTATAATAATCGTTTTAACGAACAAACAAAGCTCCACTAATTATTTACTATTTCTTATCAGAATTGCAATTTGTAATCGTGATACACGTGATTTTCGCGCGTTATATTCGAGTTAACGAAGAAACGGGAAAACTGTGAGAACTTGCATTATTCGTATAACGATTTTTCTGTTTCAGTTTGCAAGTACATCTGCCACAAGACGTGCGAGGATAAGGTACGTGATCTCATTTCTCCAGTTTACACTATTTTTGTTTGTTTTTTTTTTTTTTTTTTCACATAATTTGCATTTAAGTATTCTTTCGTGCGAGCGTTCCGCAAACGCAAACGCGGCGATTAGGCTGTCGTGAACATGTCACTTCTCCTAAGCGCGACATTCGTAATCAAGGCGCTGCTTCTCGGAAGGTTTATAACAGACCGGAGCAAAGAGCACACACTTCCACGTATGATGAAGAGCTCCTCTTCCATCCGAGCGCGCTCTTCCGCGCGTACTTCCTGGTACTTAAACAAACCCTTCGAGCCTTCGAGATACGCTAAACCAAGATAGCAGCGTACTACGTGCGTCGGTTTTAATTTCTTTTGTACATGTGGACAAAAATTATTTTGAAATATCAAAACAAAGCAACGACATTTGAAGTAAAATAATGTAAAGTAGGAAGTTGCGTCCTGAATTTTTCTTTACGCATAATTTGCAAACAAACAACGCAATTTTACGATTAATAATAGAAAGTAATGAAAGAATCCTTTTAAAGGTTTCTACCTAAGTATGTGATAAATTACGCGCGTCAATGAGAAACGTATTACAAGCATTGAAAAGTTTAATATATCCGTTAATGCAACGTAAATATATATTTTGCAATCTACGTCGCGCCTATCTTGCGGTAATAATCGCTCTTCTCACGGCCTAGGAGTCGATAACGCTATAGCAAAACAGCATGGAGATTAACAAGTAGCTTCTCCCATTTTCTCCACCCAATTTGGAAAGTGCATCGATATCTTAACTGATGAGATTTCTCGGTTCTTCGAACGGTTCTTCGGTCTCGCGAGTGTGTGCGATCGCCGGTTTGCGCGCACGTGTGCCGGCGCATACGTGTGCGCTCCTTAAGTGAAATGCTGTGTGGGTTCAGTCACCGGGCAGGGCACGAGCCTTACTTTGCCTTACCTTCCTCCAAGTACTCCTATGTCACGCTCGGCGCAAGAAGAGAGAGCCCGAACGTACTCTCACACGTGCGTTTTCCAGTACGCGCTTTTATGTCGGATCTGAGAACGAACGTCACGACGCGCGCGAACTGGACGTGGAGAGGTACGTATGTACGTCAGACGTAGAGAGAAGAGTGCACGCGGGACCGAAACGCGGTACCGAAAGTGCACGACTTCCTCCGGTAAAAGCAACGGGCGCGGTTGTTCCGCTTTGTTGCGGTACTCTTTGCCCGAAAGGGGGCGGATTAACCTTGTCGTTACCTTAGGATCATGGCGGAGTAACGCCCGGAAAGTGTAATCCCCCGGCTTTATGCGGATGTCGTTCGACTGTGCGGAACGAAGGCAATTTGCTTCGTGGATTGGTAAAAAAAAAAAAAATGTTAAACGTTTTGTTGGTCGATCATACATTCGCTGGGAAATAGTTTACGCACGCATTTCACCTTTATCTCAACGCATAATTGTTGCGATAATTTGCAAGATAAAACTTGTTCTTACAGTGTAAATGATACACATACACACACACACACACAGTGGGTAACAAACTTCTAAGAGTTTAGAACGACACGACCGAAGTTGTATTTATAACAACGCTTGTAGAGCTCGTTGCGACGACGGTTATATTGAATTTACAAGCGCCATTTCTTCAAAATGTCACGTTGCTCCGAAACTCTCCGATTGCCTGTTCAAAGCTGCCTGCGTGCTCAACGATCGCGATCGAATGACATTTCGTGCACGCTAGAAAAATATTAGGGAACCGTAAAAACGAGCTAATAATATCGTGTTGATTGCTGAGGTGATAATTGCCAAGATCTACGCAGTCAACTGTATCGGCGAGCCTGTAGCGGCAATTGGCTCATTGATGTACAAAACGCACGATCATTAGTAAGAATTTATTACGCGCTCACCCGCGGCAGAACAATCTTCAACATCCTCTTCGCGGTAACAAATAAATATCGCATAATTGTAAACATCGCTTGTAAAAATAATGTCGAAAGATGAAGTAAACTTTAAAGAAAGTTAAAATTAAGGAACGCAGTCGAGATAAAAAAAATACTTCTCATTCGTTGATAAAAATCTAAATACACAAAATTGTGAATTCCTCAAGTCATCGTCGTCAATCATTCAGTTTCAATGATTGTCGAGTTCCAGGTTTTTTTTACGACAATCCTCGACTCTTCACGTGACACAATGCAAACTCAATGAAGCGAAGCTCTCCTCTCTTCTACGCCACTGGCGGGAAGCGTGCACACTCGTTAGAAGCGAGACTTATATATATATATGTATGTACACACGCGTGTGGTCTCGTATATCGATATCTACACGGTGTCTTAAGTTCAAGGTGACGAGAAACGCGGTACGGATAGTCCTTTCATTCGAGAACCGCGGGGAGACGCGTGTAGCGAATTACATCATATCGCCGGACGAGAAGAAGAGGTCGACGACAACAACAATACCGCGAAGAACGAGCATTGGCTCCGCCGGTGCGGGCCCGTGCGGCTCCTGGAAAGAACCGGAACCTGATTCGAATTTCAAAACACACGGCGCAAACGTGACGCACATGGAATTCCGGTGCGGCGGGTTTTATCTCCCTGCGATGCGTGGGCAAATGATCCGGGAGCCAAAAGGTAACGAGCCCGTCTTTATTGAGCGTGTTTACTTTATTGGTGCGAGAAAGCTTCTATTTCATGGAGAACGTGTTTATATTTCAACGCGGGGGAATCGCCGTTTAAGCCAAGTCGTTCGATTTTCTTCTCCGTTGCGCGGAGAAGCGCGGATATAACCGCCTCGGATTATGGTGGCGGCGTAAGTAACGATCGCGTGCTGAGCATGTTCAGCATATTGCTCGACCGTGACGCTCTTCGCACTTCAACACCTCGGTTAGATAAATAAGCGGAAACGCAATTTGCGGAAAATATCAGTGAGTTTTAAAAAATACACGTTACACCCAGTGACGATAAGACCCACAGTGTGATTCTCTGGAATATTTGCCAGAAACGAATTTTCTTCCAACAATTTATTCGAACTTTTAGCGAACAGTGTACCCGCAGAGAATGGATGTTGGTGCGGCCAACAATGGTATATATCGCGCGAGATATGGCGCGCGCGCGCCTCCCTCGCCGAGGGGATATCTCTACGCGCGTATTGATATCATCGCCGCCGTGTTCCTCCTGGAATTCCATGTAGATCGGGTTGAGAATCGCTGGCCAATGGAACGGAGCTAACGAACGACATCATTCGTCGGATATGGAGAACCCGAGGTTTCCTTCGAGATCGAAGGTCACGGCACGATCCTCGCAGCGTCTCTACGCGCGAACTATCTTTTCCTCTTACCCCGATCCGATGTGTTTTTCCTTTCTTTTTTTTTTATCTGTTCCGAAATCTTCGCACGTCTTCGTATGCTGTGTCAAGCTGCATACGAAAGTCATACGCTTGACGATCGCCGCATTCTCGTACGTTCTTCCGAAATATCGACATGTCGCGAGTCCGAGAGGTTCATCTCTTTTTTGTTCAAAATAAAAAAAGCGTTCTTGGCTGATCAAAAATTCATTCCCTTGTTCTTATTTCGGAACGTGCGAGCGTATAAAAGAAATCTAAATGATTTCGTGTATTTAAGAAAAACAACAAGATATCCAAGAGCGTCCAAGGAGTTGAGACCCTAACCGAAAGATCCATTGAAACACTCGTACACGTCTCGAGAGAGATCCCGTATAATCCGAGATAATCTCAGGATATACGTCATAGTCTCCTAATAATAGCGGATAATTTGTCAGTAAATAATGGAATTACGCACTAACACTCTACGCTTACAAATGTAACGACTGCAACAGCGAGCGCTTGGCAGAGCTCCGGGTAAACCATATCGCAATCGGAAGCCCGTGCGAATAATCGAAGCATCATCGCACCGTATAACCTTAACCCCGCAGTGAGTTCTTGTGTTCACCGCGCTCGCGGCTGGTAGCAGCAGCCGGTCGGGGCACCCGAGAACACTCTCCGCAGCGAGCCCTTTTAGTGCCCTGTGCCTCGTCCCGGGGCTTTTCTCCGGCCACCGGTGCATCGGCCGGTCCGAGCGTTGCAAACCGCGTCAAGTACGAAACCGGCGTTGACTGCCATACCTGGCGATACCGGCGATCCGTGTGTACCAGACTCGGTCTTCCAGGATTGTAAACAGGCGACAAGAACCGGGGAAACCAGACGGCGGGTAACGTTGGCACAGGCCCCTCCTCCACGACGTCGTTTCCCCTTTCTTTCCCGCCGCCTGCTGACTCCCTAGTCCTATGTATTCTTGAGCGCTGCACGGTAGTGCAGCGATGCATCTGCGGCTGCACTGATATTAACCCGAGCGCGCCGAGAGATTCTCTTGCGCGACGAGTGTGAGAGACCAGGTATACACACGATGGCAGTCGGTCGGGAGAGAAGCTAGGCGAAGGAGGCAGGAGGGCTGGTGTGTGTTCGCATAAACGCGGGGTCACGGGAGACCTCCGCAGGGTAAGAGCGCATGGAGAAGCGGAGGGCTGGAATCGAGGGTGGGAAGGGTCGAATCGTGTCTGAGACGCTTGTGTATGATGTTCGTTTACTTTGACGGGGGTAGGATGTCGGATTATCGGCTTTGTGGCGAGATCGATTTGCCCTTTGAGACTGAAGTCTTCCGCACTGAGGAGCAGTGACTCCTCTTTAGACGTTTCGGGATTGGTTAAGATTGATCGGGATTACCGGAAATTCGTCTGTGTGTATAACAACCGAAGCTGAATATTCGAAGTAACTCACAAACGAATTTCGACTCTCTTTTTTCATTTTCGACCATTTTTATCTTCACACTGACAGAGTTAAGATCACATCTGATCGTGTTTTTCTTGACGGGAAAATTTTCTTCCCGAGCGGTTTGCTTTGATATATGCGAAATAAAATCGGACAATCTCTCTATTTCGTTACGAGGAAAAGCTGATTCCGGTTAATCACCTTACCCCGTGAACTTTAACCGCGTGCGAGTGCAAAGTCCTTTATCCGCACTATCCGCTC